GTGGTGCTGTGTTGGTAACCGAGGTACGCGTATCCGTTGTCACAGGGCGCGGCCACCACGTGCGGCTGCATAGGGTAGGGATTGGCGGGGCACCGGGCCGAGTCAATGTAAGGATACCAGTGAGTGTATCCGACCGCCCTACATGTGTGCACTTGTTTGTATCGAGCGCAACCAGAAGCTACGATTTAGCGTTCGTCAGTCGGACTCCATCCTCAAAGTATCTAAGTGTGACATTTTTCAAATTTCATAAATCCAGTTCGCTTTTGCAGTGTTATCGGGCGCTCGCTCGGTGCAAATGATTTGAGCAAACCACCGCTATCTATTAAGTACAAGATCTATACTACGCGCGGCGCCCCATAGTTTTGAGATCTCTATAACCATAAAACTTCTGGAAAAACAGACAACGCCATTAGATCCGGGATAGTTCAGAAGTGGCCGGCACGTGTGTTTTTTTTATGAAAATATCGAGCCGGCATCAAGCCGGCATCAAGACCAGATTGATCCAACCCATCTTAAAGGTCACCTTGAAACTTAGAAATATTTGCCTAGATACAATACAAAATACCAATTGACATAATTATCACACTAATTAAACCGAAAAACAAATAAATTATTGTACTTATTCAAACACTCGCGTTATTCAAACATCGCTACCGGTGTTGCCGAGCTCGAAACACGTTTAAAATCAACCGATATAAAATGTAAAAATATCAAATATAAAATCAATACGAAAAATCACTGGACGAGTGAGTGACCGAAACACCATAACTGCCCACTGAGCGGAATTTCTAGGTGAGTGAGTCATCGAGCGGGCTTTGCTCTTGCTCACCTAACGGGCTCTGTGCACTGGACAGTAGTTGTAGCAGGGTCACATCCTCACCTAGCGATTTTTCTCCTTACCTAGCGATATTTCTTACTGGACAGGTTGAGCTCGGTCAGTCACTCACCTAGTGATTGAGTGCGTCAAAAAATCGCTAGGTGAGTACGTGACCGAGCTAACACTACTGTCCAGTGCACGAACTCCGTTAAGTGATCTAGTGACCGAGCTACCACTACTGTCCAGTGCATAGATCCCGTTAGGTAGATGAGTGACCGAGCTACCAATACTGTCCAGTGCACAGAGCCCGTTAGGTGAACGCGTGACCGAGCTACCACTACTGTCTAGTGGACGAACTCCGTTAAGTGATCTAGTGACCGAGGTACCACTACTGTCCAGTGCACAAACTCCGTTAAGTGATCTAATGAGCGAGCTAGCACTACTGTCCAGCGCATAAACTCCGTTAAGTGATCTAGTGACCGAGTTACCAGTACTGTCCTTTGCATAGATCCCGTTAGGTAGGTGGGTGACCGAGCTACCAAAGCTATCCAGTGCACAGAGCCCGTTAGGTAAACGTATGATCGAACTGCAATATTACTGAGCAAAATAGAGCTGGGCCTGCTAAGTCCTTAATGGGTGACCTATCTAGCACCACTGTCCAGTCTTAGCGTCCTTTTAGTTTGTAATGTGATACTCTCGTGGGTGATTAGATTCGGATGGTTTTTCGCTAAGAAAATTTTACAAAAAATGATCTGTAAAGTCAAAGTAATTGCGTTCGACTGCACGAAACCAAAACATCTATTTTTTTATAAAATTTTTGTTATCGGGCTCTTCAGATTTATCCGTTCTAAGTTAACAATCCGTAAACCGGCCAAGGAGTTTAGAACCCAAGAAACGCGGAGGCGAAGCCGAGGCTGTTTCTTGTATGGTACATAATATTAATGACCGGCGTGCATGTGTGTGTATCTGGATTCGGGTGGCGGTGTTAGAGTGTGATTGACGGATACCACTTGTTTCTTAATCGCTGAACATAGGTAACCTTTGCATGCTTCGCTTCGATCGATTAACGAAAGTCATACACTTGGGCAGTAAATTACGGTGATTTGTAACCACAAGCGGGAAATAGAGTTGACTACGTACTGCGAAAACAATAAAAATTACTGCAAACTTCTTGCTATTGCTGTACACGTAAACTATTTTGCAGAGTTTGTCGGTTATGGCAGCAAGTGCTAACTAGCTCCTGGGCAACGACAGATGTTTGTGTCACCGTTGATTTTCAAGCTATAAGCAGACAACCTCCGGGCCTTCGTGAAACGGAAGGCTACCACATTGGATACATGATGGATTACAGCATAACGCACTCAACCAAAGCTCTAGTTTTAATTAATCTGGGGTGTCGCGGTTGCGTCTTTACCGACATGTACACTATCTATTCCTTATTTTCCCTAAAGAGTTTTAAACTGCTATATATTTTGATCAAAGACTTCAGTGCGTGTTCGGAACTTATTCCAACTGAGACAGGTCATCGCCTAGTGCGCCTGCCGGTACTTATGCCGGTTTGCCGGCAGTTGTTGGTGGTTAACTGCACCATAGTAAACGCTGTCTCCTGTTCCAACCACTTCGACCGCGATGAGCGTCTAATATCTAGCGATGTCTTACTTTCGAAAAAGCTCGACGTTACGGTTCCTAGGATGTCGTTTGATTGTTCAGCTAATGCCGGCGAAATCCTGCGATGCTTCATGGATATTCTAGAGAATTCTCTGCCACCAGCAGATTCCATTAAGCAACGAGTGAAGCAGCAGCATCAGCTGATGATGGAAACGGTACCTTACCCAGATGGCTGGCTCAAGTTTCGAAAACTGTTAAAGAGGTGAGTGCGACCATATAAAATGCACTGCAATGGAGCGCTAAGGTACTATGTATCATGATCAGTACATTAACGAAATTGCAGCTTCCTCGGTGCAAAAAAGCGTAAAATATGCAGCACTGCTAATCTCGTTAATGCCATAGTCGAGTACGTATACATGTAATGTAAAAATTTTGCAGGCACACGTTTACACGACCCGTGGAAAATGATAATGATGCATTTTGGGATAATTTGGATTTAAGACGTTTCGAGGATCTGCCGCTTAGCCGCTATATTCTGCACTTGATCAATTTTAATAATGATTTGCCTCTAGAAGATGTTCATCCCTTTTGAAATTATTATGGGAACTACTGTTCACGAAGATGCACTTTTTAATAGAAGCACACACCTTACCATTAACCTTATCAGTCGCCAATCTCGCCATGTGGCTATAAATGCCGTTCGAGGTGGTATCGTACAGAGGGACCGAGCCTCCGAGACACGCTTTGCTTTGTCGTTCGTACATAGGTATTGTAGCTATGGGTCTGGTGGGCAGCAAAAGTTTTAGCACGTAACGATTGCCTCCTCGCTGAAAATAAATTCGCATCAAATCTCTATTACTTCCAGGTAAAGTCTACAGTATCTGTAACATTTACCAGTTCCGCCTATACTACTGTAGAGCGGCACTGCATTTACTTATTATTAGGTATTCACGGGATATTCGTTAAATGTTATGCACCAGTGACATGCAACCGAAATATCCATCTGCAAACGGCGGCCCTTCTATTCATGATTACATGATTTACATCGTAATTGTACTCGTATAGTCTTACCAAATGCTTTAACATAATAATTGGCATTATTAATTGCTTTAACATATACATGTACTTGCTCGCACAGATTATGGTGTTGGCAGTATGTTGAAGTATTCCAGTACAAATCGTATCGATTACACCACTTTAATCATGTTTCAAGTACTTAAATCACCTGTTAATTTGATGTTCCTACTTGAAGTAGCTATAACGTACCTACGTTAGGAAAATATTCATTCCTCATTCCTGCACAAAAACCCAACAACTGTTGAAATTATTTCGAATAAGAAAACCATACAAATTAAATACCACCTTATACGTAAACCACCGTACAAATTAATTATTATAATAATTTTAAACAACCGACAGAAATCTTTAAGTGGGGTAGAATAACTAATAATGCCATTCCGCTGAGTTGAATTAATTTGATTGTGAATACAGGTTGAGGCTATCACAGCACAACTAATGTATTATGTATCTACAACTTTGTATGCAGTACATGAGCAAAATTTTGGTTCCGGCGGAATCCGGCCATCTTATACAGAACTCGTATCAATTTTGTTTCAATTTTCTCGGCAGAATTGTTTATTATCAAACCATCACGTCTCGCGCGAGAAAAAAGCAATCATCGATCCGACCAATTAGCCACCGCCGCGCAGATACTTGTACAGATATAAAACCATAAAACCCGATCCCAATAAAAAAACAACCTCCACCGCCTGCTATGACCGGACTGGCAGTCCCAGAAAAAAACAATAAATCTGTTATTTCTCCGGGATTGTATTCCATGGTTTTCACATTGGCATCCACTGCAAATTCACATCCCGTTGTGCCGATCACATCGGCGACCGCCACTCCCTCCGCCAGTTCCGCCAGACGCAGTGTTCCATTAATATAGGCCTTGTCCACGACAAAGACACACTTCTCCGTGAGGATCATATCGACGACACCTTTACCGGTCAGGGCAATGTACACTCGTTGAGGATCTTGGGATCATTCTCCTTCGATGTGTGCTCCATCACGACTATTCTAGTACTCTTTACCACCTGCACGAAAAGCTTAAAAAATAAATGGTAAAATTAAGAGCATCTTTCTCTTGCGAAATTTCGGACATTATGCCATCGGCAACCAAACCGGAAACGTAAACCGCTATCATTACCTACTCTAGCCATAACACTATGATAACAAACATTTATGTAGCCAGCCTCATTGATGTGTCTACGAGTTAATTTAAACTGTTTAATAAACAGATATTTCAAAACATGCAGTTCACACGGACATTTTTGATATAATGGTTATTATACAAATCAACGAAAGCAGTTTTTCGGATGCTGCGACAGCAAAGTTTGCTGAGCAATGAGCACCACTGATATAACGTTAAAAATTAAACCATTCCACGAAGACTTACTGTACCTTTGTTCCGGCTGCACTGGCCGACACGAGATCCATAGCGCCGCCCATCCCCTTGACCATCTTCTCCGGGAATCATCCAGTTGGCCAGATCGCCGCGCTTCGACACCTGCAGGGCGTCCAGCATCGTCAGGTGAATGTGCCCACCGCGGATCATCGCGAAGGATTCATCGCTGCTGAAGTAGCTGGCCCCGGGCAACACCGTCACCGTCTGCTTGCCGACGTTGATCACATCGGCGTCCACTTGCTCCTTGGTGGGATATTCACATTCACCACAGCCCAGTATTCCGTTTTCACTACAAAAACAGAAGAATTTTGTAAAAAAATTATTGCAAAATGTAATGCTGTCTGAATACTAGAAAATTATTATCGAAATCACGCTAACATAACGTTCCAGCACAGAATACCAGCCGCAACTCTACCTAACAGCTCACAGCTGATCGATCGCCTATTCACAAGTCTTGCATCGATACTGCACTTACTAATTACGTATTTACGAACTTCATCTGTTAAAATTAATAGTGTCCGCGCTTGCAGCTTTTGTGAATTTAGTGGCTATCGAAAGGTTTAACCACAAACCAATGTGTCGAAAACTCAGCTGCAACATTCAAAAAATTTATTCAGATATCGTTTTAAACACTCCAAACCCATTTTGCATGACGGCCGTCACAACAAGCACTTCCGGAACGCTTTGCTATCATTTCTAATTCTTTGGCAGTTTCTGTAGTGCATGCAATTTTTGCTTTCACTCGGATGTTTATGACAGTTTTCACATAATATGTAAGAGCACCTTTTTCAGCAACACGGGAACTGATGCTTGAAACAACCACGTAATACTGACTCTTTATCAAGCACACAAATGAAATACCGAATTAATAAATAAATTCGCTGAAGTAAGAGAGACGTTCCTCAAACACAACTATAAAATAATCCGTTTGATTACGGCAAAACAACTACAATATGCGGAGCAATAAAAAAATCAGAAACTTAAAAAGACAAAAAGAATTAAAACAAAGAAAACGTTGGAAAAAAACATGTACTTTCATCCCTTGCGAATTTGATTACTAACCAGCATGGGTGCCCAGATTGCCATACATCCCGTCCTTGAACTCCTTGGCCGCGCGGCGGTTGTTTAACATTTTCGACTCGCGGGTCTGGCTGGCGATGTCGATCTTCTTGTTGGGCCCGTACTTGATGGGGGCGCCGCGCCCTCGTGCATCAGGGTGCCCACGGCGGTGGGCGTGTAGAAGGCCGGGATGCCGGCACCGACACTCGGCCAGTGTGCCCTAAAATGATTCACATACTTAATAATTTTTCCTTGCCTACGTTTGCGCTGAAAAGTTAGGCAAATCATACTTAAAAGAATGATGATGGTTACAGCAGAATTTACAGCATAACACTTGGACATTACAACTAAACAGAAACTCATTACAAACAATTTTATTCCCAGAAATACCGTCGAACAGCCGTTGCATTGTTAACAGAGAAACCTGAGTAAAAAATATTCCATCAACTTGCCAAATTTTTCCGAGGGAAAATCAGTAACTACTCAGTACAAAAAAACCACAAACCAATCATACTCGTCCGGTTTGTCTGAATATTGTACACACCGCTAAAATTACTCATGAGAAATAAACGAAATCACCGCCAGATTTCTCCAACAAAAATAAAATATAGGGGCAACATAGTGTTAAAATTCTTGTTAAGCAAAGAACTGTCTTGCTTCGATTAGGAAATATTTTTGTCCCTGTGTTATAATACGTAAAACAGCTGGATGGAACAAGAACACGGCTATGGACAGGATCACAGCTTCAAGGGAAATGATAAGTGTCATGGTGAATGGACTCGTAGTCGTGGCCAGCAGCAGATTAATTAATGTCGGCGTTCCATGGCAGCGGCACAGGTTACGCCCGCCGCCAAAACTCCTCTGGAAAGAACAGTATACTGTCAACACCTGATATAAGTAACCATAAGCTTGCCATAAGCATAAAGAGACTAGAATTTACGCGCAAAAGGTTTGAATAAACTTGCTGGTACTGACACCTATAAGTTGGTTAGGGAACATCAGCTAAGACAGTAATCAATAAAATCGGAAAGAGCATTGCTACAAACTGGCAATATTTGTAGTATCAACTATTAAGTATTTAATACATAACGTATCTCGAGCAATTAATGAGGAAATGCTCCGACTGTCATTGGCACTGTTGTAAACGTTGTTTTTTAAACCGGAAATAGGCCTTGATATTGTTACCACACTGTCGAAGTAATAGAGTAATTAGAGAACTATAGCTGTAAGTTAGTACCTGCTATCTTACTCACTGTAAATTTCAAACAATAACTCTTAACAATAAGGTTTTCAATAATAATTTTCAAAACAAATTCCATAATTCAATACATGTGCATTTACCGTATAGAATTGAGTAGCGCGGCCTGATTGCCTATGAGGTGATCCGGACGAAGATAAACGTAGCGCGCTTGGCCTTCTCCGATAACATTTCGCCAGCCCTCGAAATGGTTTCGCATATCAGCGGTAAGATGGAGCGCAGTTAAAAACGCCTCCGTACCTGGAGCTTCCGGAATATCCGCGTCTGCAACACATGCCACAAGGTTACACTTTCATCCTCGACATCCTTGATTGCTATTATAATGGCGGATTATGATAATTTTTTATCGTTAACAGCCACAATTTCTCATCTACTTAGCTGATTTTTAAACACTTTTCGAAAGCTTAATTTTACCTCAATTTAGAAAAAATTATTCTATACAGATAGTTTATTAGCAACAGCCTTCCAAATAACAAAAAATGCTAGCGCTGGTACACTACTTGACAAGTTTACAGTTAAAATTGTTAAATATAAAAAAAAGCAAACAAAGTCTCTCGGGTTAAATGGTACCGGACAAATTAATCTGCCTAGTAGAGTACAGTTGTAAAGATTTTTACACATGCAGTCTACAAGATACAGTACAGTCTGATACAGACAACCACGCTGTGCATCGGCAACATAACAACCGCTGGATAATATTCACGCTCGGAAATTAATAAGTCTAATCCCAGATCAATTTTTTCGAGAAAAATTCCTGACAGCGTCAATAAGAAACAAGCTGTAAAGATTACAGGATGCTCTGCGCGGAGACCTAAAGGTTACTTTTAGACTACTCGGAGACGCTACATCAGTTAGCTAACGGGCCATGACCAAGCTAAGCCTCACAGAAATTCCTTTACATAACGAAAAATTGTGGAACACGAGAATTAAAGATAACCTACTACGTTTACTGAAAACGGAAAGGTCGACTTGTAAGAATCAAAAATTTCAATAGGCAAAATCCCAGAGCCCGACTGACTGACCTTGATCAAATTCAAATATGATCGCTCGCAGTGAAGCCCCCGCCTGATTTGCTGCCCCAGGCATGGCAGCCACGCAAACTAATTTTCCCGCTGCATCGCTCACGAATGCCATATTTGGAGCAAATAGAATGAGGAAATAAGGCTGGTGCATTAATAGACGAGTAAAAGGTTACGGTCACTGTGTTACTACGCTAATAACGAAAATTCTCGACTGCAAGAGGAAGAAGATCAGACTGCAAGTCGCACTGCCAACAAAATCCGTCGTTTATATAGCGGCAGCGCTAACTCTACGCTTGTACAGGTATTGGACGTTCTACCGAATTGCAAGACATGCGTCTACGTGGCGTACTGAGCATGCAACCAAGATTGGCATCCCGACAATAGATCCAGTCAGGGGTTGACCGCCTCGCGCGGTTATCGCCCAAGAGGAACACTTATCCATTTTCACAATCAGCGTTTCCGGCATCATGCAACCATAAGTTATTAGGGTTGCTGCGAATCACACTGTTCTGTGTTCACCGCTTTCTCATGTGTTTTCTGGCTTTTAAGACAGATATCTATCTGTAACTATCTCATTAATTAATTTTTAATTACGCTACAAACACAAGCACATGTACGAGTACATTGACACAAACAGTAGCCTCTCCATAATTACTACAGTAATACAGCGCCATAAAATTTTCGAATCTCACTGAGGATCACTTCAGCATGCCGACAAGCACCTCGGCACTGCCACTGTTCTGTGTTCCGAAAACGAAACATGAATTACACTACTACAGTACTCGAAAAATTGCAATATCCCTACGTAAACATGTCAGCCGCATGCACATTCATTCTATCGGTATACAACACAACCTCCACTCAACCACAACCTCCGAATCTGGTGCCATTCTAACGTTTATCCACAATTTCAACCGGAGGATTTATTGAGTACTGCTGTCGTGTATAAGCGTTCACGCCGATTAAGGCTCCATGAACAATCTTTACTCTTCCACGCCTGTAATGCTCAGTCGGTAGGCACTCATACTCTCAAACTGTAACAGAAGAACTATGGTGGAGATAAGACGAACGAGTCGGGAACACAGGAACTCAGGAATCCCTCAGGAACACTCTAACCACAACTTCCGGTCGTAAGTCCTGTGAGGATCGGCAAGAGCTAGGACGATTGTGTCACGAGCAAACCTGTATACTAAGCGATAATCCGGGAACAACTATGCACTTCAGTAGGAACAAGTATTGCTGTCTCTTTATCCAATTCACATCACAGTTCACAACGCTAGGAAATTGTAATTAGAAGCAGTCTCAGAAGTAAATCTCAGACTACTGATACTGATATTAGGCATCACCAGAACTTATATAGACTTCGCGTTATGACATCATATACATCGCTAGTAAAAGAGAACAGCAAATCACAGCATTGATTGATTAGATTATCCGTTGTGTTGCAGGTGGAAGGCGGACAGTCAGCATCCGTACGTACATCCGGCGTATGATCCTACTCCCATACGTCACCCCCACGAACGATGCTTGGCCGTGCCAAAATAAACAATCCATCCCGCAACATCCCAGTGCGATTGTGCACTTCCATCCATCCTGATCCCGATCCACCGCACAATCCACGCGTCCATCCGATGCCCAATGTGACTGTACGCCGCGATTCCAGAGAGTTAGTGTGTGGAACCCTTGACAAAGAGGCATCCGGAAGTCCACGGGTTTGGCAGGGCGGAGGTCCAAGGATCCAGGAAGGCGAACTATGAGTTACTGTGCCGTTTGAGTTGGGATGGTGTTTTGTATGTACAGTATACGGCATAAAGCTTTATTAATTGTGAAATTAAAATCTTAAATGTGATTGTGTGCAATTCTGTAGAACTATGCATTAAACGAACGAGACCGCGATAACCAACAACCAGTAGTATTCTTACGAATTCTCGAGTACTACAAATCACATCGTATAGCAACAAATGTCAACAACAACAAACAAGCTACAAATAAGCGTATCAAAATGGTGAGTGCAATCTACTAGCGCACTAATACAATAATGTAAACCAGTAAAAGGCAACAAAATCAAGAGTCAAGGCAATGCAACAAAGCCAGTAATAATATGAGATCAAAGAAAGCAACCAAGGTCAATGTCAAAGGTGAGTCAAGGTTACTTGCCAGCACTGGGAGCCAATGAAAAGAGACCAGTAATGCCAGAGCCAGACGCTGCAGCGGCATCCAAACGGCGAGAAACTTCCGCAGCCATCTGACGTCGACGATCAGCATCCAATCCCCGCTGCTGCTGCTGGGCCAAATAGCCAGGCACAAAATTATGCTCGGCAGAACCAACAGGACCGGAAGGCGCAGACGGCGCACGTGGGCGATCAGCTGGAGAACGGTCGCGGGCATCGCGGACAATCGGTACTTCAGGTAGCGGCACAACATTTGGTGGCAAACCGGGAAATTCAGCGTTAGCCGGGGCCTGCACAGGTGGAATGAGAGCCGGAGGAACGACAACGGCATTCAAGGCTGGTGGGCCATGTAGATTGACAGCAGGGTTGACACCATTGGGCTCACCTGCAGCCACATTTCCGTTGCCTTGGACCGGATTCGGTGCATTCGCTGCTTGGTTGCCCGGGTCGTCAACCTCCATGTCTGCGGCGGCAGCTTCCACTGGAGCAACTGGGTGAGCGTCTCCATCAGGTACTTCAATAACTTCCGGTGCGCCCAGAGGTCGGCCATTACGACGCCAATGATCGTTTCCACGACGCAAGTTATTGTCTCCAAAATTCCGATGATTTCCTCGGCCGTACGGACGAAAGTTGCCACGGTAAGCACCACGGGCTCCACCCTTCCTCGGTGATTATAACCGGCATTATACTGTTGTTGCTGGTTGGAGGATGAATGAAAATAGCGTCAACCAGCTTATCAAAGCTCGGTTAGGATCAATAGGCGGCATGCCCAACTAATGAAAACTAGTGACCTTTTAACGCTAAAAGTAAAGAGAGAAAAGCGTCAAAATCACATTCAGAAAAGCAAGGAATCTAATACACCACTGGTGCCGAAACGAAAAATCCACAATGCCGATTTCTGCACACTACGCGCAAGTGATTTTATACCCGTCTGCTGGAGCGAATTTTAAAGTGCGGAAGATTCCATACAGGTAGAAAAACAGCCAATCAGCGCTTCGCGCTATATCCTTTTAATGCAACGAAATCAAAGATCAGATCTATCCAGGTACAATGAGAGATTTAACACTGATAGCCACGGCACAGCGGCAAAAATATTAAACGACCAGTTCAATGACTCAGAGCGCGTAAAATTGAAAAATAAAAATTGGATGAAAATAAACGCAAAATGCCTTAAATTGTACAATGAAGGCTACCGATCAAAAACAAATCACAAAGTTTGGCCAGCTAATATGCAAATTAAGATCAAAAACGAAATGACAGATCATCAAATTCTGGCAAAAATGTACAGCATGAAGGATAAGAAATCATTAATGGAAAACTCACAATTCATCAGAATGCGGCTGCTGCTGAGCATAAACCGTCGGTTCCGCAATTTCAGGTGAATCCTCGCGAGCGACTGCAGCAACAGGTGGCACAGCTGGAACAACCGGCTGCATAAAAGGCAGCGGATCAACATCCATTTTGTCCAGATCGGATCCATCGTCATTCTGACAATCAACTTCCATATCAACATTCTCGTCAGCTTCGACATTAGCATTCTGCTCAGGGGATAACACGGCCGAAGGATCCTCACGATCTTCCCCATCATCCGAGACAGATACTTCGCTTGGCGCCGAAGACGAGGACGGTGAAACCTCCTTGTACTTGCGCTTTTGACCACGGGTACGAAAATAATACGGTCCAGCAGAAGTGGATGGCTGCGGTTCAGCATTTTCCACAGCACCCGCATCAACAACCGCTTGACGCGCAGCTGCATCCGCCTTCTGGCGATTGGCGATTTCTTTAAACAATCCAACAAAAACAGGATGTAAGTATAGATATTGGCGACGCAGCTCTAATGCAATTAACGAAGGTAATTTCCGAGTAGCCACACATAACGATTGATTAATAAAAAATGGATGGGAAGCGAGGATGAAAGCGATTTAAACCGGAGAAATAGGCTTTTGTAATTGCCATCTCACCCTGCTTGTCCGCGATAGCCATTCTTGGAAACACTCCGGAATGTGCTCGTTTGCGAGCCGTCTGCTTAGTTTTGAAGACCGGCCGTGGTGCGTCCGGGTTATGCGGCACATAAAGAATTCCGCCTTTACGCAAATGATCCTCATCTAAATACAGCAAAAATAGCCATAAGCCTAGGCTTAAATTGAGCGTAACAGCTGCAACACCAGTCGCGAGAAAGCTTAAAGCAACAACACAGAGAGCGAATATCAAGTAATTGAAAACAGGGCTTTCCAGAAGCAACGTGTGCGTAAGGCAACCAAGTGAACAACGAGCGACTCCATAAAAACCACAACAACGGCAAACACGGCACAATACCTCGCTTTGCTTTTACAGACGGAGTCTCGGAAGACGATGGCTCCTCTTCAGACAGGTCTGGAGTACCCAACTGTCTTTCAGCCTGCGTCTGCAATTTCTTTGGTGACGGCTGACGAATCTCAACGTCAGGACTGGCAGCAAATAATCCGCGGCGGGCCTGACGGCGAACCACAGCAGCATTGCGTCGTAAGATTGTACGTCGCCGCTGTGCATCATATCGGCGCTGCAAAGCATTGACTACTGCATCTGCCCAACTCGTTGAAGGTTGCTGAGCCTCTGCTTCACTCACCGATCCCGATGACCCAGAAGATTGCGCAGAAAACACTGGTTGCGCGGAAGTACGACGAGAGACGCGAGATCGAGTGACACGCGACGAAGAACGGGCTTCATCACTGTCCGGAGAATAACCAAAACTTAATCCCGCTGTTGCTCGATTCGGGCGCGGTGTACGAGACACAGTCTTCCTCGCAGTCGCTTTCTTCGCGGGAGGCGACATTCTCAAAACGTAAAAGTGACAAATTAATCGTGAAAAGATAGGAAAACAAAACAAGCGGATACCAGCTGTTGCAGAAAAATGGAAGGACTGGAGTGCAGAGAAAAAGCACCACAGACAATCTACACTGGCACCGACACTGGAAATGCAGAATTCATTGAGTATACCACCAGGCGGTTGACAGGCGACAGACTGAATTTTGCGAATTTTGAAGCCACTATGATCATTTGGCGTAGAACACACAGGAGACCAATCAATTCTCCGGGGATTTGTAAATTTCCACCACAAAAACCGAATTTTAATAAAACATACAAATCAT